GAGTGCAGTGGCCGCTCCCGGCCACCGCAGTCTCGACCCGCTGGGCTCCGGTGATCCTTCTGCCTCAGCCTTCTGAGTAGCCGGAATTACAGGCACGTGCTACCACGGCCAGCTGATTTTTTTTTTTTTTTGAGTTGGAGTCTCACTCTGTCGCCCAGACTGGAGTGCAGTGGCCGCTCCCGTCCACTGCAGCCTTGACCTGCTGGGCTCCGGCAATCCTTCTGCCTCAGCCTTCCAAGTAGCTGGAACTACAGGCACGCGCTACCACACCCAGCTAATTCTTTTGATTCATTGTAGAGATGAGGTCTTGCCAAGTTGCCCAGGCGGGTCTCGAACCTGCGGGCTCAGGCAGTCCACTCACCTCAGCCTTCCAAAGGCAGACTCCATTTTTAAGACGAGCGCGAAATCCAGATTTTGTGTGAGTTTCCCAAATGTTGAAATGTAGGTTCAATTTGTTTTTAGGAAAATTCTATTGATGAAACAGAACACAGTTGTGGACTGAATCCAGTTTGTGGGCTGACCTTTACAACTTCTACCATGGGAAACTCAGGGCCTTAATCCCAGGAGGAGGGCCCCTGGGTCAGACATGCTGGAAGGAAAAAAGGGAGAGAACCCTTCTGGGCTGAGGCGGGGCTGGCAGGCTAGTCGCTGGAAGGCGCCACTCAGCTGTTCTGAAGGAAGCATGGATCCTCTGAGTCCAGTGGGAAGGGTGGTCATGGGCTCTCCATCCCTGGAGGTGTGGAAGCCGTGGCTGGGTGAGAGGGAGGGGAGTGGGGTTGGGGGGGTTGGTGGATACAGTGGCCTGGATGACTCTGGGTCTGGATCATGGTGTCTTGTAATTTTCTCCCAAGATCAGTGTCCTCAGGGTTAAGTTCTAAATGTTTGTCTGTTCACCCATCCATCCATCTACCCACCCATCCCTCCATCCATCCAAATCCACTCATTCCTCACATCCATCCATCCGTCCATCCATCTACCCAGTATCCACAGCCATCCACCTAACCCTCCATCCATCCACCCCCTCATCCCTTCATCCGTTCATCCATCCATCCACCCATCTATCCACCATTATTCTTACCCATTCCCCTATCCATCGATCCGTCCATCCATCCACTCACCCACACATCCCTCCATCTATCTCTCCACCCATTCTTCACATCCACCCACCCATCCATCCATCCATCCACACATCCATCCCTTCCTCCATTCATCTACCCACCTATTATCTTTCCAGCCATCCGTCCATCCCCCACCCCCCACTCACCCACTCATTCATTCATCTTCACCTTCATCCATCCACCTACCCATCCATCTGTTCATCTTCACACCCACCCCCCATCCCTCCAGCCACCCAGCCACTGAACATTCACCGAGGCCCACTACCAGCCTGCACTGTGCAGGGGAGGGACCGAGTGGGGACTAGACAGGCTTCTCTCAGCTCCCACTCCCCCTTATTCCCGCTCCACCCTCTCCCTGTCAGGGAAAACCCCTCTCCTGGGAGACCCAGGGACAAGGGGGAGTAGAAGAGAGCGGGGAGAGGGGTTGGGGCTTCACTGGTGGGTGGGGCTTCTGTGGCATCTCTCTTGTCGAGCCCCGGCCCCTCCCACCTCGAGGACAAAGTGAACACCTGTGGTCTTCCCCGCAAGACTGAGGCCAGCGGGCTGGCTGGGGCTGGACTCCTGGGGCATTAAGAGTGGGCTGGAGGCGCAGTCCTCCGAGTGCTGTCTTGTCGTAGGTGCGTGCATCACACGCCAGCTCCCCTAGCGCATCCTTTTCCACATCTGGCAGGCCCTGTCCTTTGCCCACCCACACCTCCCAGGGTCCCTCAGATGGAGCCCGCCCTCTCACTGCTGCCAATGCCCTCCTTGCCCTGCATGACCAGCCCTCTGCCTCACCCCCCAGCTACAGGGCCTGCACCAGCTGCAGCTGGCATCTCTCCCTCCAGGCACAGCGGCTCCCTGGGCTCCAGTCCTGTGCACAGACTGTGCCCGTCACTGGACACCTTCCTCCTCCACTTTCCCCTGTTCAACTCAGATCTCAACTCAGACCCTGCCTCCTCCAGGAAGCCTGCCCTGGGTCCCTCTCTGGGGACAGGTGTTTCCCCCCCCACCTCTGCCCCCCCCCGGTGCCTCCTGCTCCAGCCTCACCAGCTTCCCCGCTGCTCTTCAGCACTCAGCCTCCTCCTGCCTCAGGACCTTTGCACTGATGGCCTTTGCTCCCACAACCGGCAGTCAGCTCAGTGGGAGCCCCTCCCCCGCTGCATAGTCGACATGGCGGCCCCATCTTCCCATCCTGCCACCCGGCCCTGCGTCGGATGGACACCAGCGGGCATGTGACTTGGTTTATTCATTTGTCTGTTGTCTGCCTCCCTCTGGGACAGGGAATTTTGTCTGTTTTACTCACTGCCGACTCCCAGGGCCCAGAACAGCTCCTGGTGGTCCAGTAGGATCAGTGGGTGTATGACGAAGCTGCTGTGGGCGGGCTTGGCCATGAGTGTCCAAGGAGGACCCCAGCCTGCTGTTGGTCGCCCGCAGAGCCGGCTACCTGACACTCTACGGAGTCGAAGCGTTGCCACGCACCCAGCAGAGCGAGGCCCAGGACTGTGCCCACTCGGCAGACGTCTTCCACACCTTCCGCCCGCTGGACCTGCTGCTCCCCAGGCTGGCTCGAGGCTCCCTGTCCGTGGGTGAGTGCTGTGGGGGCCCCGGTGGGCAGTGGGGAGGATGGGAAGACCCAGAGACGGAGCCCAAGCTCCAGGTGAAACATCAGAGGCCATGCAGGTAGAAGCGCATCCTAATGCCCTGGGAGGCAATGAGATCCCTGTCACGGGAGGTGTGCAGGAGCTCGGGGGGGTGGGAGGGGTGGAGGCAGGGCTTGGACCAGAGTTTGAGTTCTGGTGGGGATTCTGACTCAGCACATCTGGAGAGGGGCCTGGGGTGTGTGTGTGTGTGTGTGTGTGTGTGTGTTTTCCTTTTCTTGTTTTACGATTTGAGTTGCTTTTAGATTCTTCACAAGCCAGTGGCTCACGCCTATAATCTCAGCACTCTGGGAGGCCAAAGCGAGAGGATTGCCTGAGCCCACAGGTTTGAGACCAGCTTGAGCAACATGGCGAGACCTCATCTCTACAATAAATCAAAAAATTAGCTGGGCGTGGTAGCGTGCGCCTGTAGTTCCAGCTACTTGGAAGGCTGAGGTGGAAGGATTGCCAGAGCCTGGCAGGTCGAGGCCGCGGTGGCCGGGAGCGTGCCACTGTCCTCCAGGCTGGGCGACAGAGTGAGACTCCAACTCAAAAAAAAAAAAAATTATTTACAAGTAGTTTGTGCTTATTATAAAACATTCAAGCCATATGGAATCCTTTAGAGGGAGTAGTAAGAGTTTCCCACTTTCTCGCCATCCTCGGTCCCCTACTCCCACCATGGAGGTAACCGCTGTCATTCACTCAGAATATGTCCGGGCAGAGCTTTCTCTAAACACACACGCAACTGTGTGGTTTTTATTGTGTCCTGTTTTTAAGGCTATTAGTTTCTTTCTTTACTGAGGAATGGCACACATGTCCTCATTGCACCCAGAGGTGGCCTTGACACCTCATTCCTCCTTCCCCATGAATACTCGCCCGCGGAGGTGGTCTCTGCGCTGGGTGTCTTTCACCGGCGATGAGTTTTGCCTCTTCTTGAACTTCCCATCGTTCGGGTCACACAGCACGTGCCCTTTCGTGTCTGGCTTCTTCCACTCAGCGTCACGCCTGGAAGCTCCACCCAGCTTGTGCATGTGTCTGTCATGTATCCCTTTCACGACTGCATAGCATTCCATCAGAGTCCTAGACCGCAGATCGTGTGTCTGTTCTTATCTGTAGACATGAGAGTAGTCCCCATCCAGGGCTGTTGGGAACCAGATTGCTGGGGGCATCCTTGTGTGTGTCCCTTGGTGCCACGCACGCCCTTGTGTGTCTTAGCTGTCGGTCTGCACCTCTGTAACTCAGCTCTTTCGCGCTGGAAGACCTTTCCATGCCAGCTTGTAAAACCCCACGTCTCATTTCCGTGGTTGTGGAGGGGTCTCGGTGTCAGAAGCTCCCAGCTGACTTGGCGTGCTGGGCCGCAGGAACCACTGGGCGGTGCTGTCCCCAGCCGTGTGCCTCACCCTGCTCTGACAGCGGAATCCTCGAGTCCTAGTTAATCACTAGGTCCCTGAGCCCATCCGGGCCCCCCTGACCTGGCCATCCAGGCAGGGCCACAGGAACCATTGGGCGGCGCTGTCCCCGGCCATGTGCCTCACCCTGCCCTGACAGCAGGATCCTCGAGTCCTTTCATTGTACTTGTAGCCATTCTACCAGCTGGCGGATTTTATTTCTCTCTGACAGTTTCCTAGAAGTGGATTTGACAGGTCAAAGGCCACACACGTTAAAATTTTTATCAGCTTCTGCCTCATTGTTCCAAACCCACAGAGCGATTTGTACGCCTACACAGAGGGAAGGCGCCTGCCCCACCAGATGTCCTCAGTCTTTCTGTTTGCTTGCCAGTCTGATGGGCAGAGACGGGTCACGCACTGTTTTAATTTGCATTTTCCCACAGCCTTGCCAGCATGCAGTATCAGCCTCCAAATCCTCGCCAGTCTGATGGGCAGAAAAGGGCCTCTGGCCGTATGCAGCGTTTTCTCACTGTTGGGATAAACCATCTGTGTCTCACCAGCCGTTAGCATTTCCTCTTTGTGAGCTGCTGATTCGCATTCCTTGTCATTTTTTAGGGGCAACTCATTATCTTCTAGAATCCTGCCACCAGTGCTGGCAGGCTGGCATTACTGTGCTCACTGTGCAGAGAGGGAAACTGAGGCTCGGCGCGCAGGTGGGATCACTTTTCATAGACACACAGCTGAGAGGGGGCAGAATCAGAGCCGGCAAAATGGGAAACTCGGCCTGTCTGATTGCAGAATCCTGGGCGTAAAGCACCTGCCACATCCTAGCCCATGATCACTGATCACCTATCCGGGAAAAACTGGATTTCTCCAGACGCTCGGGGGAGTCTAGGGAGATGCCACGAGACCCTCCATCACTCTGGGAGCTACCCTGGGCTGGATATAGGACGGCTGCATTTCCCAGTGTGGACAGCAGGTGGCGATGTGGGAGGACCGTGTCTCATCTAAGTTGGGGCCAGGGCGTGTTGGCCCGATGGCAGAGCGTCTCTCAGACCCTGCTGAGGGGTGTGGGAAGCCAGGCAGCCTCTTTCGACAGAACCTACCAAAATACTAAATGAAACACACATTTCCTTGGTCCTGTACTTCCGCTTCTGGGGATGCATCCTATGGAGGTGCTTGCACATGTCTATAGAGACACAGAGACAGTCATCGTCACGGCGCTCGCAATTCCAAGTGCTAGAAACGATCTCAGTGTCCCCCAGGAGGGGCGGAGTAAGTACGTTGCACGTTCATGCCAAGGCAGCCCATGCAAATGTGCAACGGGGTGCACTGGTATTGGGTAGAGCCTGCGGTCAGGAAAGAGAGCAGGTGCAGGACGGTGGGGGAGGCAAGCCACCATCTATGGACTTTTGAAATGTGGGAACCTAAAAACTTTTAAAAGACTCCACTTTTGTTTTTTCTTTTTCTGGATTGGAGTCTCACTCTGTTGCCCAGGCTGGAATGCAGGGGTGTGATCGTGGCTCACCGCAGCCTCGACCTCCTGGGCTCAGGGGATCCTTCCACCTCAGCCTCTTGAGTAGCTGGGACTACAGGCACACGCCACTGTGTCTGGCTAATTTTTTTTAAAAAATTTTTGTAGAGACAAAGTTTCACTGTTTCTCAGGCTGGTCTCAAACTCCTGGGCTCAAGCAGTCCTCCACCTCGGCCTCCTAAAGTGCTGGGATTATAGGCCTGAGCCATTGCGCCTGACATTCCTCCTCCATTTTTAAAAATAGAAACGTGAAAAAATGTGGTTTTTTTTTTTAGTGGGCCTTTTGAGGACTCTTAGACCATTGAATTTGTGCTTTCCATATAGTAGGGAGTTGGGACAGTTAGATGGAGCCCCGAGCTAAGCACAGTGCTTCCTTGTGGAACATTCGTTTCACCGGATTGTTTTGGAGGACTGTTGAATATTGTTTGGGGAAAAGGCATTCTTACAGCAAAGAATCCTAGAGTCTGATGCAAAACTCTAATGCATTTTAAAAGTAAAGCACAGGGCCTTAAAGACATGTCTCCACTGGGGGGCTCTCTATACCGTGCCCCCAGCTTCCAGGGCCCAGAGGGGTTTCCAGGGAAAAACGGGAGAGGTACAAGCCTGGGTCCTCATTTATGGACAGGGAGACTGAGGCCGGAGGTGGATGGGGTCTCTGCCAGGGCCACCACTTGGGGAGTCTGGAACTTAGACCTGCTTCTCCATTCTGGGACACCAGTCCCTTGGGCCTGGCAGCTCTGATTTATAGCATGATAAGGAATGCCTTCTCATAAAGGCAAGACTACAAGTACTACTCACCAAACCTCTACCAGTACCACGTGTGTCCTGCGTGTGACCTTTCTGAGTGCTAGTGGCTCTGTGAGCTAGGTTGCTCTCGTTTTACAGATGGGAAACATTGAGGCTCCGAGAGACAAAGCTACTTGCTCAAGATCGCCCTGCCAGGGAGGGCAGAGCTGGGATTTCCGCCCGGGTCTCTTCAGCTTCAAACCTTGGTTTTTTTTTTTTTAAATCTCACAGTTCATTCTTTCTTTCTTTCTTTTTTTTTTTTTTTTGAGTTGGAGTCTCACTCTGTCGCCCAGACTGGAGTGCAGTGGCCACTCCCGGCCGCCGCAGCCTCGACCTGCTGGGCTCCGGTGATCCTTCCGCCTCAGCCTTCCTG